CCTATCTCTTGGGAATAAGACTCCTTAAATCTTCTTCTTCTTTTTTTCATCCACTCACAGATTATTCAGTGATGTCCTGCTCACAAACTCCGAGAAACCACAGTTTAAGGTAGAGTTGAACATTGATTTGCTGCTGTTTGTGGAAGTGGCAGGCTGTTGGGAGCTCTGCGTTGTTGGACGGGGTAGAGGAGAGCAGCAGTGCTGGGACTTGTGGGGAGCCAGCTCTGCTCCCGCTGGGGAGCTGCCCCAGAGCGCTTCTGGAGGGCACTGCTGTGTGCCGTGCTGTCAGCCTCCACACAGTGCCACTAGAGCATCCTTTCCATTTCTTGGTGCTTCTCTGTCCCTGCTGCTAGACCTGTGGCTGGTTTGGAGGGGAAAACATGCGTCTGGAGTTGTCTTTTCTCCTTCTCTAAGGGAATAGACTTGGGGCTTTAGATGGGCAATGTGGTCAGACGAATGCTGAGTTTTGAGCAATTGAGTTATGTTTTCCTCTATCATATTTTGTGCTATGATTTTTTTTCCCCTGTTCTGTATTAGATTCCTACTAAGCTAAAAGAGGCATTGAAAACCTCCAAGGAATGCATAGAAAAACGATTAACAGATGAACAGAAATTGGTAACATCTGAATTTCTTTACTATATTCCCTGTAGACATTTCATTTCCTTTTATTGCTTTTACATGGGGAAGGTGACTTTTTATTCGCTCAAAATGATTCAGTCAACAGATTTGCTTTCCCAGAAATGCAGTATGGGGAGTTGTTAAACAGCTGTTGAATGTATGGCATTTCACTATGTTAAGTGGTGTGGCTTCACAGGCAATGGCTCCAAAATTAAGGAACATTTTAGCTGCAGTTTGAGGCTTCATCCTCTACCAGCAACAGAAAATTAAAAACTAAAAAAGGGAAAAGAAAACTAAACATGTAAAGTGGCTACACTGTGTTTTCTTGCACCCCAAACGTATGCTTTGTCTGACAGTGTTTCAGATCTTAACATGGTCTTTTGCTGGTTTTCCCTTCATTTTGAAGATTCACCAGCACAGAAGGCTGACAAGAGCTCAGTCCCATCATGGCTCTGAAGAAGAAAAAAAGAAAAGGAAGATCTTAGCACGAAAAGTAAGCAATCTTTAGTTTATTCACACATAAAAAGATGTGTATCTTTTAGGAATGTTTAGCCACAGGTACGCTGGTCTCTTCTGTGCTGTGTTTTTCTATACTCCTTCCTGATTGTTTGAATTTCTGTAGCTAAGCAATACACTTCCCAGTAATTTTAAGTTCCCGTAGGCATTGATAAACCTCGTGTGATGCAGTGCATGGCTGTTCCAGATCTGTGTGTCGGTTCAGTGCTTATCATGGAAAGCAGTTATTCACTCCCACCTTCTGTTTCTTCTGCTTTGTTTAAAGAAGTCAAAACGCTCGGCCTATGAAAGTGGGGAAGAACACTCAGCAAAATACAGCAACTCAAATAACTCAGGTAACTACAGGGAGAAGAGCTTGCTTCTACACAGCTGTGTCAATGCTTTTGTTGTTGCTGTCATTTTCTGGCTTTAAAGATCCAGGGTCACCATCAGTTTACACATTAATATTGGACTACCAAAGCCTGATACCACTGTTTTGCATATTTAATAATAGATAAATCAAAGGCTTATGAATATTATCAGTGTTAAGAGGTTCAGCTGCGTAATACAAAGCAATGCGTCCTCTCTTACGTGCCCTATTCATTAAAAATAAGTAAGTCAGTCTCTTCAGTGTGTTTGACATTGGAGTGGAATAATAATAACATCCGTTATCTGGGCTATTTAATAACACAGCCTTCAGGGGGGAACTCTGTGGTGATCTGTATTCCATAGGAAGGTGTTAAGATGAATGAGAAAATGAGCTGTTGAATTGCTGCTTCAGTGCCAAATTCTAAAACAACAAATTCTAAACCAAAGACCTTTGACAGGTCTTCATTCAGTTAAAAGGAAGAGTTGACTTGCCTGGCTAAAATGTGTCCCAAAGCAGCCTATGGTGGCTGATATCAGAGTAACTTGTGGAGTGCAGCACCTGACTGAAAGTCATCTCTTAGAAGGAGAAGTGGGGTGCCATCCGTGCAGTGGCACAGCTCTTAAGGAGAACAGGATTTGGGTGCTGAAATCCAGCAGCCTAAGCAGCAGCCAAGAAGTGTTTCCCATTGAGCAGTACTGTTGAGTGTGCTTCTTGTGAGTCTGCTCTACCCTGCACTGTAAAGCCTCGCTGTTTAGATCAGGGGGGTTGGACTGGATGATCTTTCGAGGTCCCTTCCAACTCCTAATATTGTATGCTTTCAGTGGAAGCAGGATTGGATCCTCAGTCAATAAAGCTGCCCTGTTTTCAACAATCTGTCTTGTCTGACTGTGAGGAATTTTAATGCTGCAGCTTTAGTTACTAGACTCTTGTTTTATTTAGCAGGCTCTGGGGCGAGTTCCCCATTAACATCTCCATCATCCCCCACTCCACCCTCGACAGCAGGTAAGTTCAAGTCATTGCAGTGTTTGTCTTTTATTTGTTTCTTATTCCCCTGCCCCTCAACTGTGGGTGTTCTTCCCAAGGATGGTGAAGGGATGGTGGTTTTCAAGGAAGGATCACAGCGATGACATTTACCTTGTGTCAGCCTGAGCGTGGGAATTTGTTCTCTTTTGAGGGCCATAGAGACCCTTTTAATACTGTTCTTTTTCATTTAATAACCTTTCTTAAGATACACACGAAGTGATTTACCTATAGAGTATACCTGCTTGCTTCAAAGTCTCTCCTACTCCAGTCCTAACAACATTGCTACTTTCCAGACATTTTCTGGGCCCCGTGTTGCACTGTGCATTTGTTCTGATGTTCATGGTCTGTTGACTCTGAAATACTCTTTGTTGATCCCTTGTTTCTGTGTATTGTCTCTTTGCACCTGTACTGCTGTGATGTAGTTTCAGGAATTTGGGGTGTGACAAATTCAGTGGCTTAGGCTGCATAAATCTCCCCGGTTCTGCTACAGCCCATTGGTAACAGCAGTAGAACTGGCAGAGACAAGTCAGAGACTGATTTGGGTTAAAAATAGTATCTTTTTAATAGTAATACAGATAATATTAACAATGTAATAATATCTTTATTATTTTTATATTATTAAAATAGCATCTTTATTATTTTTGGCCAGTTCTCTTTTCCAGTTTGCTGGGTAGCTGTACAGTTTTGGTAACGTTTAGGACAGGCGGTGGGAAGTGGTGAGAAATCTGCTTGAGTGGGCAATAGTGAGATGTGATTACAAACCTGAACAGTGAACGATAGTGGATGTGCTTCAGTCTGAAAGGCTGGAAGTGAAGCACTGGCCAACATTAACAGCAAAAGGTGTTAATGGAGTACATTTCTATATAGGAGGCAGTCCATAGCACTGCTGTTTGTTATGAGGACTCATGCCGTATGATTTCTAGTCCCAGAAACTTTCTGCACAGCACAACTCGTTAACTAAAGCAATGCAATCAAATCGTGTTTGCTGTGGATGGTCTTTTGAAGGAAATTCAGATGAGTCCTTTCTCCTTCAAGTTGAGGGTATGTTGAAGTACATATTTTATAGACAAACTTCTCCCAGTGAGTTTAAACAAGATAATGACCGTTATTGTCTTGCACAGTAACAGCGCTGTTGTCTGGAGGTACGGACTCTTTGCTGGAGGGTTTCTTTGTGAGTTCTGTACACTTTAATAAGGAAGTAGCTGAAAATGCAGAGAAAAACTTCATGCCTTCCAAATGGACCGATGTTTAGAAAACACTGCAATAAAACTACCTTTTCCTTACGTTTTAACTTCAACCTGCTGGAACTTGGTTGAAAGCTTTTACAAGTTTTGAGCGTGTGATGCAGGTTTATGTGTAGCCGTGGCCCAGATGGCAAAGAATGGCTCAAGTCTGGGCTCAGAGGTGGGCTCTGTTGTTCACCCCACATTGTCACAGCGTCTCGGCCGTCCTGCTGCCAGTGTGCTCGTGGTGACTCGTGGTGATCAGCCCCCATTGACACCGCGCGTGTGGCCCTACCTGCATTCAAATTGGATGGTGCTTTAGTGTGGTGATGGCTTTGATGCATTTGGTCAGGTGTACAGGCAAGTGCCACCATTTCAGGAAGGCTTTTGTGAGTAAAATTCATAGGGGAAATTTCAGATATTAGCTCTAAGAGAAAGCTAGCGTGTCTGGTCCTTTTTTCACCAGCAATGTTCTATTTCTAGCTATTCAAAGCAAGTATAATATAACTGACTCGATGAAAGACTCACTGGTCCCATGGTAGGACTTTCTTTGTGACAGCTGATGCATCCATAGCTTGTAATCTCTCTCTTCCATTTTCCTTGTACTTACTGAGGGCATTTACCTCTAAACCAAGACTGCTGGTGGGTATCAGCGTGCTGAGATGACTTTCAGAAGGGGAATGAGGCTTTAAGGCTGACTTTCTGGGTTGCTCATGGTTGTGTTAAATTGTGGCATCTCAAAGCATCTCGCTGGTACAATGCCATGGCAAAATGAAGGCTGAGATGGAAAAGTGTCCCCAACACAAGTTCTTGTCCTTGTCCTGGCCCATAACCAACCAAATCCACGCAGTGTGGGTATGTGCAGAGCCACAGACAACAGCCAGAGGGGACGGGCTCCAGGCTGATGTGCCCTGGAGAAGGAGCTTCATTTGGGGGGGTTCTCACAGGTCGAGAGGTGTTTTTTGTTGGATACTCAGCTAAATGACATCTCTGAAATACACTGTTTAGATCACGGCAAGTGATTCTGCTGTAACTCCCCGTGTTTCTGACGTTCTCCCCTGAATGTCCCATTCTTTTTTTTCCTCCACTTGCACAATCCTTTGCTCCCGTGAAAATCTGTTATTTTTCTTTGCAGCTATGAGCTGTGGCTAGGATCAGAAGGGATGCAGAACACTGGGATGGGTTATTTCATACTTCACTGCATCTTCTCCAAATCAAACAAACCCATAAAATACCAGCAAGCTCTTACAATAGAGAACAGTTTGGAAGGCACCATTTTGGCTTCCCTGCAGGAATAAAGCGAAGGAGTTGTACTTAACCATAGTTATATTATATACTCTATAATTTTCTCTGCCAGTTCTGAATCCCTCAGTGCGACATATGTTTCATAGACACCCATATGGTGCGTCTTTGCTGCCCTTCACCTTTCTGTAAGACGTTTTGAATGCTTTAGTACGTGTTCTTGAGCGTGTCTGCCCTATGCAGTGTAAGTGTAAATACAGGTGTTAATACGACAGGAAGCGCTCCCTGAACCGAATGGATTGTGTTTTCTATGGCTAATCTTCTTGCAGATTTCTTGCTAAGTCTTTCTAAATGCACTTTAATCCTGTAAAGCTTGAATTATGGCATGTGCAACCGAGAGCATGCGTGTGGTACTCGCCCATCAAGTATAAAAATGCTTACAGCATGGAAAACTGTGGTTTGTTATCCAGAATCAAAGTGTTGTGTATGTAATATGAAACAGTCAATCTGCTGTCTTCGTATTTGCCACTGAATAAGAATGTATTGATTTTTGTACTAACTTTTCAGCTAACAGTGTCTGTTTTTCTTACTTTGACACGAGAACCAGATGATTAACTTGTGTCCTCTCTCTTTCTCTGCTGTCTTCAATAGAGCATGCATCATTTTGAACGTGAATTTTCGGAAAAGTAAGCTAATGCTGATTTCTCTCTTTAAAGATGCTCTGTTTCTGTATGGGAAAGTTGAATGCAAATCTTGAACTCGCTTAGTATTGGGAGGGAATAGAAGAAAAAAGATCTGAACGCTCTTACGGATTATTTTAATGAAATACAGCATCTTTAAAAACTATCACTAAAATGATTTTCTTTGCATCCCATTCTCAGCCAAGTTTTTAATGCTGTTTGCACAATTACTGTCACTTTAAATCCATAATTAAGTTTTTGTTTTAATTCAGGCATCAAGTTTACAGCATCTGATTTACTTCCTATTCCTTTTAACACACTCTCTTAACAAAAATGTCCCTGTAAAAAAACCCTTGGTAAGTTCTTGTTTGAGTGTTTTATTCTTACAACTGCATGAATGAGTAAAATGTGTGTTTGCAGGGCCCTTGTTCCAGCAGATGTATTGGAAAGGTCTAGAGATAATGGAGCACTTTGTCTCAAATGGTTTTTTTTCCTAGTAAATACAGAACAATATTTCACTTTTGGGAAGAACAGTTTAACCTGTCGGTGTAACTGCGTGTGAGTACACAAGCGTGAGTGAAGATTTCCTTTGCACCACTTGTGTCAAGAAGGGGAGGACAGCGTGGTTTTGATTGACTAACCGAAATGAGTGATGTGCAGAATCTGAATGAATAGGCTCAGCATGTAATGCTCACAGCTAGTCAGACACCATCCTAAAACCTGTGTGGATTTATGTTTTAAGGCAGAGCTCAGGTGTAAGAGTGTCACTGTCTGTCATCAGCCTCCCAAGAGCTTAACGGCGTGATGTTGTCAGCAGCTCAGTTTCAGTAACAGTGAGTCCTGAGGACCTGAACCCTTTTCCAGGAAGGGCGGTGGCCTCTCCCCCTACTTCCCTGTCTTTTCTACCCCCATTGTAAAATAACCAGGCCAAAATTTGAAGGTAACACATGAAATCTTGGCCTAATAATGCTTAGTGATCCAAGCACTTTGTGCCTTCTTTCACTGCCTGTGTTACTGTTGGATTTGTACTCCATGCAGAATCCTGGCTGCTGTTTTCATGGTCGTTTCCTATTGCATCTTGTAAAAATACTTGCAGAGCCTCTTCAACCTCACCTTGCAGTTCCAGCCAAAAATCTTGTCTTTGTGCTGTGCAGCTCTTGCATCTCTTCCAGGCCATTTCACTGACGATGAGGAGCAGCTCTGGCTCCTTTTCAGCAGTTCACCTGATCAGTTTGGTGATCGTTGGTGTCGCCAGTCCTGTGGCATTCTGCTCTGACCACTTTCATAACAAAAGTGGTTTCTTGAGCTGTCCTTGGTCTTGTTCTTCCTTTGGTAAAGCGTCAGGCTTTGCTTTGCTGGCAGTCTGTACGCGCAGGAGAAACAGGAGGACTCTGACCTAGAAGATAATTTTCTAGTACTTCTAATAAATTGAGTTACATCTTTGGCTAGTACAGAAAGTGGATCTGGATAAGTTAGATGGCCCCAAGGCATCAATATGCAATTGATTTCAGTTTGTGGTAACATTGTGTAACGCTTCGATTACTTGAGGGGAGCAGTTGATCCACATGCAACAGGCGTGTTAAATTGCTTCAGTTATTTCTATCAGGCCTTGAGTATTTCCTCTGGAAGGGAGGAGAGTGAAGATGAGCCCAGTGTGTACTTCCATGTTTTGTTGTCACACAAGGTTTTCATGCCAATGAGAATTTCTCCTGAATAGTCAGAAGTGCTACAGTCACAGCATGCATTAATGTACACTGGCAAAATCGGATGCTTTGTGCGAATACTCTGCATTTTGAGCTTGCTCCTCTATGGGAAAAGTCTCTCTTCAAAGACTGGTGCAAATAGAACACGAGGGAGCTTTGTGTTACGGCTTTCATCTTCTGTAATTGCTTTTTTAAAATTGCAGCAGTTACTTTTTTACTATTACCTGTTAGTCTGAGAGCAAGTGTTAGTGAGGAATTGAGAGGGAAGTGGAGCACAGAGCACTCTGCTTTTTCAGCTGAGCTTTATCCTTCATTGAATACCTCTTGAGTCCGTGTAGCATAATGTCCTTTAACTGCTTGGCATTTCCTTACTTCATAGCAAGCAATTCTACTTCAGTAACCACAGTCCCTTGGTTGGCCTCATGTTGTTTTGCTCTGTTGTCCTTTAGTCTCATAGTTCTTGCCACTTCCCAGTGTGTTCTTTGTAGAGGAGCTGCCAGAAGCAAGTGTTACAGGTGCCATTGGTCTCTGTAGTCTTACTATGGAGTAACTCATGGTTTGAATGATGAGATTTAAAAGTCACTGTTGAATAGTTCCAAGGTATTGTTTTGCCCCTGCTCAATGCAGAATACATGAGACCAGACAGGCCCATCATTCGCCATACAGCTGCAAATGCCACCTTTTGTGGATGTCTTGCAGAACAGCGAGTGGTCACCTCCAAAGCCCTTTGCTCTCACTCCAGCATGGATCTTTGACTGTACTTGCAGAGAAACGACGGTGCAATGTGCAACAACACAGGTCTCACTGCTGGGCTGGCTGCCTACACTGCTGTGGGCTCCGGCTTCGCAGGGAGTGGGGATGTGGAGGCTGAGGCACCATGAGAAGCGGGGGATGGATGTGACTGGGATAGAAAGGAAGGGCCAGAGAGCACAGGTGACTGGTGTGAACAGGAGAGACGGGCAAGCAGTGTGAGTGGTAGATGGTTGTGATTCAATCAGCCTGTGAAGCAAGCATTTGTTACATGTTCAAAGTCTGGCAGTACTGTGGAAGTGTAAAACATTTCCAGGAAACTCTATCTGCAGTTAGCACTTCACAAACGGGGTATAATCTGACCAAGCAGTCATCACAAGTACTGCAGCGATGAGGTCCTTCGTAAGAATGTGAAGTTAGTCACATAAATAAGACGAGGGAGCAAGATTTGCTTCCAGTCTTTGTTACTGTCCATGACCCAAAAAGCAAACTGCTTCACTGGGGACAAACGAGAGAATCTGAAGCTGGGAAGTCCTGTTAAGTGATCTCCATTGCCCTCTGTGCAAGATCACATTTGAGTCACGTTTTGCACCCCTGAGTACTGAGGCACTTCAGGCTTCCTTTCAGCGCTGTCTCAGATGACACCACTCACCTGCAGATAGAGGTTTGATCACTGTGGCATCTTTCATCTGTTCTGTTCTTCACCCTCCGCTGGCATTCAGCCATAACGTGACTAGAGCAGGACTGACCAAGTCCAGCGAAGCAGCCGTGGTCCTCTGCGGCAGGACCTTGTTGACATGATCAAACTGCATCTTCTCCCCTCCATTCAACAGGAGCATCGTTGATACCCCCAGCACCGCCACCGCCACCCCTGCCACCAGCAGCTCCTCCTCCTCCTCCTCGTGCAGAGGTGCCAACGCAGCCGTGCCCACAGCCCGACATCAGTGCAAGCCGAGGAGCCCTGCTCAGCTCCATTCAAAACTTTCAGAAAGGAACTCTGAAGAAAACACAGACGTGCGACTACAGCGCTCCCAGGATCAGCTGAGGCTGCTGCTCCCACCAGGATTGAATCCCCTTTCCTCCTCCTGTGCTGTCCCAGAACAAGACCCTTCTGACCGGCGACTGATCCACCAGCACATAGCGGCTCATCACGCTGTAGCTCCGTTCACCCCAATTTCAGCTTTCCTTGAGCAGCAGCACTGCCCTGTCTGAATTGCGTTGCCATGCCGTGAGAAGTACTCCATCCTTCACCTGGTTTCAAGAACTTTGTTCTCTAGCTACAGTTTCAGGGGTACAGCAACTTCTGTACAGCTGAATAAAAGTCTGAAAGTAGGAATGACCACGATCATGGTGAATTAATGCGTTTTTTCTAGTTCTGTTCCACCCCTTTTTTTTCAAATTGCAGGAATGTAGCTTTAGTCTGCTCAGTTTTTCAATGCTTTTCTTGCAGTTATAACTCATCTTAATTCTTGCTGCACTGAATCAGCAAGACTTGCTTTAGATAATCCACTCCCCTGCCCCCAACCCTTAAAGTGTACTGCACAGGCGAGGGAACTGGAGAGTTAAATCTTATTCCCACCATATTTGCAGGTGGAGTAAAAATGCTGTCTCATTAAACTTGTTGAAATGGACTCCTACCTGTAACTCTAAGGGAAAGTGTTATTAAATGAGGAAACAGTTGAAATGAGAGTTAACGGGGCACTGGGATAATTATTCTTGATTTAGTTAAATGCAAAGTTACTTCAAGTTAATTCTACAGCTTAAACTTTATTGAAAGATCCTTTTTGATTTAAAACCTTAAAACAAATTGCACTTTAAAGGATTATAGATAATCCATTTTTTAAATTCAAGTACATCAGTGTTTGTTACTATGCAGAGAATGTCTGTACAAAGTTTCCTGTAACCTGTGATATCCAGTCATTTTTATTAAAATGTTAATGGAATTCGGCAGCGTGGTGGTGGTGGCTGTGTTCAGCTGGGATCGCACCTGCAAGCCAGACCTCCCAAGAACCTCTCAGCACTTCTGCTAAAGGCACTACCCCGAAAGGTGTTCCTGGCCCTGAAGTGAAACAGGACCCGAGCTCTTCTGTCTTCTGACAGAGGTAAGTATCTCCTCTCCAGCAGCTCACTGGAAAGGCAGCGTGCCCAGGGTACAGTGCAAGCTGCGCTGCACAGGCTGAGGGGCAGCTCTTGCTCGGTACCAGGAGCTGCTGTGACTGCTCCCCAGCTTTTCATACACGATCTATGCAACTGCTGCTTCAGACCCAGGCTCACTGAGTCTGAATAAAATAAAACTTATTTTGCACTGTAGGACCTATAGAGCACATTGTTGTCAGCCCACATAACGAGTTTAAAAACAAACAAAAGCATAAAAGCAAAGCATCTGGGCAAGTATTTTTTACCACTGGCTGTGGCAGCTTTTAAAGAAATACCAAGTAGTGTTTCTCAGTGCATACTGAAGAGGATCAGGATCTTTATTTAAGCTTTTGTGCAGCTTTCCTGCTGCAGCGGAGTGTTCTTCAAACTAAGCTAAACCTTAACTGTCTCTTAACTCGTACCATGGGCTTCCAGAGCCACTTTGTGCGTGTAACTGTTGCACTGCAAAGCTCACTGCAGTTTGATCATTCATGATAAGCCTTGATAAGCCCTGCTGTCACCGGCTCCTCGAGAGCTCCACAGCACTCCAAGGCTGGACTCGGACCCCCTCTTCCTCACTGCAGTTCTCCGCTCCACCACCACCACCGCCAGGTTAACACAGCGGGTGTGGTAATCACAAGCTGAGCAGAAAGAGGCTTTTTTCCTCACTCTGAATTTAGAATATGATTTTTCCACATATAATAGCACCAACCCACCTGTACTGTTGAACAACCAACCATTACCACGTTGTTGCTTGTATGAAGTGTGGCTTAGAGGGTAACCCCATATAAATATTCTGGGAGGTCACTATACATTCCCCACTGTACAAAAGTTCATGTAGTTATACAACAAAAAACTTACGCATACAACTTGCCCTACACCATTAATACTTTGTAAAGCGGGACTTTAAAACATATATTTACAACTTAGATATTCAAAGTTTTCTTCACTGCAAATATTATATCCTTCACTTGAGGTATGCAGTTATCTTCTAAAATCTTTGCATAAGGCATAGGAACATCTGCACCGGTAACACGCACAGCTGGAGCGTCCAAGTAGTTAAAGGCAGATCCTGAAACAGAAGACACTTGTCAGGTTGCCATGCGCTATGGCTTCGTCTCAATTCAATTTCTGAATCTTAATCTATTTAAACAATTTTGTGCCTTTAGCCCCAGTATTCCAGAAAGTGCTGTTCCTGCTCATTTCTCTTCATGAACTATGGTTCAAACAAAACACTTCCATCCTGCTGCTTGCACAGCCAGGTTCCCAGGATAAGAATTACTCATGACAGAAGATGAGCTGCATCTACTCTGTGAAAATCTCTAGAGCACAACAGCCAGGCTCAAGCTCCTCAGATATAAACCCCAGCCTTCAGCTGACTTTATCAAGAAGTCAGGATTTAGCTAAGGGAATGAGATCAACATAAGATACTGCAGAACGTGGTACCTTCCATGATCCTGGCACAGATTTCAGCTCCAACTCCAAATTGCGGCCAACCTCCTTCTACAGTTACAAGGTGGTTTGTCTTTACCACGCTGGCTTCCACTGTTTCAATATCCATTGGTCGAATTGTACGCAGATTTACAACCTGGGGGAAAAAAAAAAAGGGACTGTGTGAGTTTTGCTATGACCTAAGCCTGTCAGTTACCACTGGTTGGGTACAGTGTCCTTTAGCGCTTCCATCTATTCTGACTTTAAAGACAAGACTTAATAATAAAATATAACCACAATAATACCATACAGTCATTGTTCTGCTTACCATAGAGCTGGGTCAATCTGAAAATTGTGATTAGTTCTGCCTTAATTTTGTGATGAAAAGGTCAAATGCAGAAACATGAAATGCATGTGCTTGGCTTGCTGACTGTTAAGCCATATACAAATACAAGAGGCTTTCAGTTATTAGACTGAAGTTTCGGAGAGCCAAAATGAGAAGACCGTTTTTCCCCCGGTTCAGAAAAGAGAACAAACCGACTCCACACACCTCACACTCCACACCTTCTTTGGCAAGAATAGCAGCTGCTTCCAAACAGTGCCCGACAGGTCTTGAGTGTGACACTAATGTAATGTGAGTTCCTAAAACAGAAACAAGTGTCAAAAAACCACAACGAACACTTAAGACAACGTTTTGCTTTAGACCTCAGGCTCCTTTTAAGGTAATGATAGGATTCTCTTGTAAATTTAAGCTCCTTACATTTATGTGGAATGCTAAGTGTTCTGTGCCCATACACAGCATAAAGAGTGGAGGCAGGAGGACTGTGTGAAGACACAAACTTTACCCTTGAATTCAGGGAACTGAGAGGGTATTTAATATAGTTCCCAGATTATCCTTTTCAAGCATTCATATAATGAAGTGGTAAATTATGAGCAAATGGGCTGAAATACTGGTGATCTCTTTTTGCAGGAATGGGGAAAAGGCTTTTCAGGCATCACCTACTCCATCTCTATACTAAGGAACAAATCTTTTAGAAAGGTATAGTTTTAGATGAGATACAGAGAATCAGGTGATCTTTATTTACGTGGGCAAGAACAACAAAGTTAACTCCTGAACATGTGAAATCCTTTTCTGTGCCCCATGACAGCAATATAATAAAAGGTTTAAGAAGTCCCCAAGCAGTTCAGTTAATAAGGAAACAACCTGCATCCTCAGCTTACCTTGCCTTTCTATTTTAGCTTTTCCAATTGGAACAATGAAATCCTTTGACTGTGCCTGCTCAGACATTTCAAAGGGAACACCATACAGTAATTCGTTTTCCAGCATGACAACTAAAAGAAAACAGACTTGGGTTAATGCGTATGTCTGCAGGCAGAGGAGTGTGCTGATGGCTAAAGCACCACAGCAGACAAGCTCAAGATACAAAGCCCATCCAGGCAACAAGGACTGGAGTATGTCTGCAGAAGCAATTAAAAATAATTAAAATCACAGTCATTACTGTCATGCTGATTTATTTTTAAAATTGCCTAAAATTAGTCTTAAATAAGACCAGCTATTTAATTTTTGGTACACGATGGTAGGATTGCCGGTTTTAGAAAGGTCTTAGATTTCTGCATGCATGTTTGTGAAAAATGAAGACAAAGACTGCCCTGCTTTTAATTAATGACATTCCAAATTTATCATCTGAATTTCATGATCTGTAAAAATGAGTTACATAGACACTGAATCACAGAATCCCAGACCGTTAGGGATTGGAAGGGACCTCCAAAGCTCATCCAGTCCAATCCCCCTGCCGGAGCAGGAACACCCAGATGAGGTTACACAGGAAGGCGTCCAGGCGGGTTTTGAATGTCTGCAGAGAAGGAGACTCCACAACCTCTCTGGGCAGCCTGGGCCAGTGCTCTGTCACCCTCACTGAGAAGAAGTTTCTTCTCCAATTTCAGTGGAACCTCCTGTGTTGCAGTTTGTGTCCGTTACCCCTTGTCTATACCCCTTGTACACTCAGGAACTCCTCCTGACTCATCCTTTTTAACCCTTTTACAATAGATTTGTAACTGTTTCCAAGTTTCCTGATTGATACCAAACCAGCAGTAAAGATGTGTAGCTGACAACAGCACACAATTCGTGTACTGCTAGCAAAGCAAGTGACTGTCAGGAAAATGTTACGTATCTGAATCAATACTTCTGTGCCTTTTTAAGCACCCTAAAGCTGCAGTAAAACAACCTTAAGTGTCTTAACGTTTAACAGTATTTTTTTTTTGTTTAAATGGGGCAAGAGGGGAAAACAGACATTCTTTTCAGGACTGAGTGTTAGGTATTGCTGTGATCTGCCTGTGCTCACCTGGATTATCGTCCCGGATCGATGCTTTCAGCAGACCTTTGGCATCTTCTGAGCTCCAAGGACTAACAACTTTCAGTCCCGGGCAGTGCCCGTACCACGCTGCGAAGCACTGCGAGTGCTGAGCGGCGACCCCAGCTGATGCCCCGTTGGGGCCTCGGAAGACAATGGGAACAGCGATTGACCCTGCGGACATGTAACAGGTCTTGGCAGCAGAGTTTATAACCTGATCGATTGCTTGCATGGAGAAGTTGAATGTCATGAATTCACACACTGGTCTCAACCCTGCCTATTAAAGATATTAAAATACATATTAGTGTATTTCTACGTAAAAACTGCTTAAGTGTTTAATTCAGAAGTAAAGGAATGAATGTAATTTTACACACCATAGCAGCACCGACAGCGATTCCTGTGAAGCCCATCTGAAAGAGAAGGGACCCAAGGGTAAGCAGCAGGGTAGCAGCTGGTGAAGGGATCGCCAGGGTAGGAGGCAGGGGCTGCCTTACCTCCGATATCGGGGTGTCAATCACTCTCTTGTCCCCGTACTTCTTCCAGAGACCCCGGGAGATCTGAGGGGCAAGAGAGAGGAGTCAGCGCCCGCCTGAGGTCCTCTCCCGGCCCGGTAAGAGCAGCCACACGCACCTTGTAAGCGCCATCGTACTGGGCCACCTCCTCGCCCAGCAGGAAGACGCGCTCGTCCCGCTCCAGCTCCTCATCCAGCGCCTGGTTCAGCGCGTCGCGCACCGTCACCTGCGA